TAACGCTCTAAGAAAAATGCGGAGCAAGAAGCGTAGGTCAAATTGTTTGATGCGGAAAGGTCGAATATACTATGGTAGTTAATTGCCGATGGAGGCATATTTTAGCGCAGTAACACTGGAAGTGGGCCAATGGCATGCGCTCTCTTCCGTGAGATCCAATCGCGAGGGTGGTGGGCATTGGTGGTCTTGTTGCCTTTTGGTGTCTTGCACGTAGAGTCCTCCATGTTCCACGCATCCAAGGTGCGATGCGACGTGCAATGTGAGCCATTTTAGATCCCAAGGTGGAGGCTGCAATGATCCAGCTGCCGTGTCCACGGCCAGCTCCTGTCTCTCCCATTGGTAGAGGGAGCTTCTCCCATGGAGAAGGAAGCCATGAACGGTCACGGCGTCGTCGACATTGAGTTTCTGTTGGCAACAACGCAATTGGGATGCATGCATTTTATGGGCATCCTCACGAATCGCAATTGGCCGCGAGCTTCCGAATCTCTGTTGTGGTGTCGGTGGGCACAGGCTACGGTCTTGGCATGTTTCAACCAGATTGAGGGCATCCGCCACCTGTCAGAGCTCACCATTTGTCATGTGTCCTGCTGACCCAAAGGGGAAACGTGCCACGTCCAAAAGGCGTCAAATGCCCATCTTGAACGGAATGTGCCAACGTACAACAACTGAGAGAATCAATGCGTTGCAATGCAGCATGCAGGCGCCTTTTCAGCTGTTGCTAGATTCGAAGCCGCTAAAGATTATGCGCATTCCAAGAGGCTGGGCAGACAGTAAGTACTATCTGAATGCTGCAAAATTTTGCGTTTGCGTTAGCATATAACGCCACCACAATATTCATTTGCTTAAACCTTTAGGCTATTAACGGTGCATTTGAGACCTCAAAGTTTACACCACCGCCAGATCGCCTTAAATCACAAAACCCACAGTTTTGATCCTTGAATCTTGAATTTCCCCGCCCTTCTTGAAAGGTATTCTGGCCCCTCATGAAGAGGCCGATAAGCATCCGCAGCTGTCATCAACTTTCAGAGCCTTCATATACTCAACAGCACTTCCACCTCTTAGAAATAAACACAATACTGGGCCCTGGTGGTAGCAAAGCACGTGAGAAGACCCCATTCCCTCGCTTGCCGGCCTGTCTCAACGCATCCTCAATGTTGAGCACCCCTTTCTGTTCTGTTTCATGGCCCCAATCAGAACGCAAGACCCCGAAGATGTGCCCAGGCCACTGTCATTAGCATTCGGGAGAACATTTCAAATGTGTATATTGGAAATCCAAGAGCACTATTGACAATACCAAGCAATGGTTTTTGGCTATCAGGCCCATGTGATGCACCCCAGCTTGGCGTCCACTCATATCTTCGCAGAGAGCAATAGTCATATCTGTGTACTTCGGATGATATTAGCTCCTTTACTTGCCACCTGTGAAGGAGCGGCATTCATCTGGGCCTTCGATAGCGGAACAAGCCTTGGAGGCTTTCAGCCACTTTTTCTTCAAGTCCTTCGATGACCCAAATAGAAATTTGACGGCCTCCTTCTCTGGCAGAGCACATTCTCCTGCACATAGAAAAGAGAAATTCACAAGCAACTTCACAGACCAAGTTGACTCCTCAACGAGGCTCCGTGACGCGTCGATGTTGGTTTCCTGTCCAGTGAATTTTCTCGGAGCATCATAGTTGCTGCCAGCCACATTTCTTGTGGTACGCAATTATCGTCACTCTTGTGTATGTTACAGTTTAACCATGTTGCAAGACACGGGTGCCCGGCATTCGAGCAGTTTACTCAATGCCCATGAAATTCCAACCCAGGAGCCATGAGTGACGTCGACAAATATTCCAAGCCCAAATTGGACTGGATGCTGATACCGCTTGTCGACTCAAAACTGCAGCTCCAAGACGTGCAAAGGCATACCCAACCAAGTTCCTGCGTTTGCAATCCACAATCTAGCGAAAGTTGCCAAATTTCACACAGTTTTCAAACGTGCTTGAATTGTGATCGACTGGCAGCAAATCGTGCACTTGAAGTTTGATATCGTCTCAAATGAGAACAGTTGGATATCTTGGTCGTGTGCCCTTGGCGCCATTTTCCACCACAGTGCCACTTCCGCCGTGTCATCTCAAGCACGTGCGACCTCATGCACAAATCTCCCCTATCCATGAAAATCGTATCACTGACACCCCGCCCCAGTTTCTGCCGCCACGATACGTATTAGGGAATTCGCATCTGGGAATTGCCATGAAACGTGTATGCCATCTCACACAATTCCACACCTTCTCCGTCAATCTCGCAAGCACCCTTGCATGTGGAATCCGCGGGCATGGCGTCACATTTGAAGCTCATTTCCATAAGCTGACACAACGTGGATGTAGCATTTGGCGAAATCCAGCTTGAAGAGTCAAGGGTGAGGCCGGGTTCGCAATCTCCTGAGTCCCCTTCTTCGCAAGGAGGCACGCACGGAGAGACTTGCTCGCACGTTTGACTCTCCTGCGTCAAGGCGGAGAAAAACGCGAGCCCGAACACCTGCGGACCTTGAAAATTGAGAGTTGGCGAAGCACACCATTTATGCAACATTATGTAATATTTATGCAGCATTATGCAACATTTATGCATGGCGCGGTGACACTATTGTGGCAAGTCAGAAGCATTGTTCAACAGTATTGGAGAATGGAAACAGAAGACCTTTGTATGCTTCCTCCGTCCTCCATTAAATGTCCTCTATTCGAAAAACGAAATTGGTTACAGGGAAAGTCTCAAATGTACAAAGCAAGGTCAGAATCGAAAGTATTTGGTCCCAAGACCCTTGACTACCAATACTTGTGAAAAAATACTCATCCTCATTACCGCTGAGGCCCCTTCGAAATTGCCTAAGATTTGGCCCAAAACTGCGCATTCAGATTCAGCGCCGATTGGAGATCCGCGAGATTCTGAGTCGCTCCCGTCTCAGGCGTGCCAAATATCGATCTCCATCCGAGAATCCCGTTGTCGCGGCGTCAGCGATGACAGAAATCGCCACACTGCCTGATCTCCGATGCACTAGGAAAAAAAGGGCCAAATAACACTTTTGCGAACACACATAGAACACATTTCATCAAAGTTCTACACGCTAAGAACACAAAAATAACACAAACCCGTAAACTTTGTACACGTTTGAACACGTGTTATTTTGCCCTTTTTTCCCTAGTGATGTGAAGACTTGAAAGAAGCGGAAAACACCAGAACCCAAGACGCCCAAGCTTGGCCTCTATGCGAGCTATCACTCTTGAGCTTGTGCCATAATTTTACTCTGACATTGCGCCACGATTTATGCAAATAAGTACATAAGTATGTACTGCCTTCAAACCTTGGTAAATCTACAAGATATATGGCCTTGCCCTGATCAAGGCGTCTCCTGGCCTTTGACCATCACGTGTGCGTGTTGCAGTTAACACCCCAAACTTTGCAGCAAACTCCAATTCTTTTCCTTGCAAATTTCTGTTTGGGATCAAACCGGATCTTTAGCGCACACCAGACCAGCAAAGCACCCTTCTCTCATGGTCACAGTTGAGATCAATGCACCTCTTCTCAAGGCCAATGCAAACATGGTGTACCCCACACAATGCCCGGAAAAATGAAAAATTGCATTTCAGCTCCTCTCGGCATATCGCAAGAATGACAGCATCATTTGGAACGCTTGAAGGCTCCACGCATAGCTCTTGGTATGGTGCTTGGAAATTGCTTCAGTGAATTTTTCTGACCCATGCGTTTTCATCTCCATTTGTGCAAATTGGAAATGGGACAGGACTTGTAAAATAGAGATGGTATATGCATTTATATGTAAGTTCCTCCACATCGTCCTCGAAATGGACGGATCAGATGCCGCTGTAGAACAGAATATAGTTCTATAGTTCCACTCTAACAGGTTCCCGGATTCTCTGACACCGAAGCATGACCACCAAAACCTCATCAAATCTTGTCAGCACCGACGACGGAAGCATACGTGTATGTGTGTATATTCTGAGGATACACCTTTCCAACTTTTGGTACGCCGTAATGCTGGGATGTACCACACATCACAAAAAGGGCTCGCCCTGAATGCGCAATAAGATGCCGTGAGCGCCTCTATGCTAGGCCTCCCAGCCTGAGAGATGGGGCGCCTTGTGTGGATGGGGTGAGACTATTAATCTGTGGAGTCCTTCAAAGCAGCCAGGGCAGCCACCGATGCATTAGCAGCGGCACTTTTCTGCGCAGCCATTTCTGCCAGTTTGTGCGTTTTTGTGGGGAGAGGTGACCGTTGCATCCTTCCAATTTCTCATTACCTTCTCGCCACCTTCGGGCGCGCCTCAATGGGAATGGCGAGTCTAAAAATGAACTGATGATTCGAAGGTTATGCAGTCGGCGTGTCGCGGATACACACAATGTCAAGTGCCTGTCAACATGAAAACTCGATTATGCAACTCACCGCAGCCAGTGCTTCTGGATCCTCCTGACACAGTGCATCTGTTTCGTTCCTGCAGCGCGGTACGCATCTTCGTGAATTGATGCGAATGGCATGTGGCCTCAACCAATCAATTGCTTACTAATTGTCAAGAATGCCCCAATTTAATAGCAGCTTTGATGTACTCCAGAAGGAATGACACGATGGCGGCAAGCCATCCCATTTGTAACCTGCACAGTACGCGACAGTACTGGCAGGGACGCCACATACGTGTGCAATTTTCAATCAACAGCATTTAACATCATTTGAAATCTTTCACGCGCTTGCGTGCACGCTGCAAATCATGTCACTCGCTGAGTTCTAATAGCGCGACGTTGAGGCTGGGCCTCATTTGTTAATAGTATTACTGCTCAGCCAATGGTTCCAAGTACTGTACAATACTTGCTTGCCCCATTTTCCCCGACAGGGCGTTTCGATTGATCACTCGCTTGCACGTGAACATGACCGACCATTCGACCAATCGACCAGCACGATCAATGATCACGAGTCACACGTCTACCTTCAAGAAAGTACTGCAAAGTACTGACTGCAAAGCACCACTTCTTTCAAAACAAAGTTGTGCGTGGAAAAATACGCGCAACTGCCGCACTTACCACTGGCATCCTGGCAAGGCAAGGCATCTTGACTTTCCAGGCAGCGACGAGCACAGCGCCACTCGGATGAAGGCCACATATTGAGGCTCAAGGCAGTCGGCAATGTCGGCGATGAAATCACTGCCACATTCACTGGGCTCATCGGATTCATCAGATTCGTACCTGCAGACGGACGGCAAAAGAGGGTCAGCTCCGCACCTACTGTCCATTTCTTCGGCACAACATTGCGCCTGTGCAAACGCTGCAGTGTTTTCTTTCACCAGGAGCGACGTGGACGTGAAAGACTCCGAAAGGATGCAAATCTCAAAGCGATGCACTATGCTACTGGGAGAATTATGTGAGCGCGTGCAGCGAAATGTTTTAGAAAAAATTGCTGTCTTGACACCAATAACGCAAGCAGCAATGTACTAGATTCACGTGTTGTGTACAATATCCTCACAATGAGCAGTAATACACCAGCTCTATGGACAAATCGCGGAGACCGGCACGGCATATAACATCGAGATGCGGCGGATCAGAAATGGTTCACTCTGAAATCGAAACTCGGAAACACCGTCTCTTGTATGGTCTGCACGGCAACGTCATGCAAATCAAGTCAAATGATACTTTATTTTCCCAGACAATTATCGTATGAAACCCACAGCAAATTCTCAAATCACATATTCGATGATGCTATGATTCCACAGATACATGGAAGGAGAATGATGTGCACATAGACTGCTCAATGCAGTACCTTACCAATGAGCCTGACGCTGGTATCGATATGAACCATATGGTTTGCTGATTCTTATCAGCTGCTGATCTTTGCTGCAAAGTGCTACCAAGTAAAGCGAGCTCACCACAAGCATTCAGCAACGTCAAGGCAGTCATCCTTGGACAAGAGGTCTGAGCACATCTGCAAAACACAAAAACACAAAGCTACACTGTCGGGACAGAGATATGGCAGCTGGTCGATAGATTACTGCCATCTTGTAGACACTGAGTGCGGAGTTCATGGCATTACAAAGCGATCTTGCAACAAGTCCACTGGTGCGTCTACATGTTCAACACGGCAATTGGCATGCAAACAGTTATCGAGCACTGCACCAGATATTAGTGAGGAAGGTTTTACCTATCAGAGAGTTACATAGCGCCCTGCTTCACCACCACCACAATATTCCTATGTTAGTAAGCAACGCATAGAATGTTTCTATTTTTGCAAGCAGTGATGCAGAGCTCATTTGAAATACCAGTGTACCGAAGTATAGTCGCTTGATCCAAGTTACCATCTTGGTGTCAACGACAACAATATTGGGGTAAATTAAATGCAAAGAGCACCAAAGCCCCTTTGGTTGCCGAGTTGTCATGTCTTTTTAACATTATGCGTTGCTTTTATCAACGTATTCTCTCTGTATAGTTGTTTCATGCTTTGCTGTTGTGCAATAATGTACATTGCTTTCTTTACGATATTTGTGTATATTTGTAGTGCTTTCAATACCTTTCAACATCGCATCTTATCGCAATGGGCAGGATTGTAACCATCCTCGCAGATCCACGTGCAACGTGAGAAAACACACGAAAGGCAGACACACGGTAACGCTTTCAAATCGCGCTGCAAAATAATGCCTGGCTAAACTGCACTCAATTCTCAAACTGGCCAACAACAATTTATGGCGGTCTATTGGTCCTCGACATGCTCATCAATAGAGTACTGTCACACTTACATTGTCCGAATCAATAAAAAAATTTGGGCACAAAGGGCGGGATATGTGGTCATGCTGTGAATCCGCTGTGCAATTATTCCAACCAAAAAGTAGTTGGCTATCTTATGTGATACTGACGAAGGCAGGCAGGGTCGAAGGGTGGCGATCCCTGAACGGGAATTGTACGCTCGAGTCCACGGCAACGGCTTACAGCCGAGGCAAACAGACAACAAGCGTTCTGTCTTTTATATTCAGTTTGTTCATCAACATCCTTAATGCAATCCCTAACGCTTCATCATTTTTTCATACATTCAATTATCAATAACACTCAATCAGTTCCAGCTGTAACAATACTACAGTTCGTAAGTGCAATGACTTGTGATCGCGGTCATCATGAATATGGTGTTCACTTACATGCAAGTACAGATTGGAGGAATAACCATAACAATGACGGAATAATAGCCCAACATTACATGGAATACATCCTCACAATAAATGCACTTTTAGGAATGCACTAATGCACCATACATTCGGATGCACATTAACATACAACGCAAACATGCATAAGCATGCCAAAACCACCCTCACCTCAAGAGCTGTGAATACACGCGAGACTTCAGAATCTGGAGCTTCCGACCCAAGGCGGGGTTGGCAAGAATTCTCAGCCCAATAGCACAGTGGCATATCGGACTGCAGCAACTTCCTAGCTGCAGATATTTCCGACGGAGCTGTGACCTGGATAAAGCACAAAACCAAAATATCAAAGTGCCGAATGTGCAGCCACGTGCCATAGTAAAGTACACGGGCCAGTATCTCGACCTGCCATGAGAAATCAACCGAGGAATAATTGCTGTACACGCAAGTCGAAGGAGAACAGGCTGCATCGTGCTCAGTGCAAGTGATGCACGAGAAGCATGCCGGACTTGTATTTGAAAGCATGCCTGCACAGGCTTGCTAACTCGCAAAGCCTCGCCAGGGTGCAGGCTGACTAATCGTGTATACACAGATATGCAGCACTCATGCAAGGCAGCTCGGCACAAAGGCGTGCTCAGTGCAAATGATGCACGAGAAGCATGCCGGACTTGTATTTGAAAGCATGCCTGCACAGGCTTGCTAACTCGCAAAGCCTCGCCAGGGTGCAGGCTGACTAATCGTGTATACACAGATATGCAGCACTCATGCAAGGCAGCTCGGCACAAAGGCAAGGTAAAGGCAAGGTGATGGCGGTCTGTTATAGATTCACCAGAATTGACTAGTTGCGGGCATCCTACACATGGGTTTAGTGAACGCTATGTAACTAAGGAACTCATCAGCAGCAGCAGCATCAAGCCCGTCATTGCTGGAAGTGTGTTTGTGCACATTAATTGTTGTGTCAGTCATACAACACTGCTACTCAAGACGCAAAAGTATGACAATAACAGAATCCTGCAAGCAAATGCTGGATGATGACCTATGGCAGATCAAGAAAGTTCTCACAGTAATCTTCTCAATACACATTGTAGGCTTTTCGGGTGAAGTGTGCAGGACAGTTAGTACTTTGGAGAGTCTGCGCAGAAGCTTGAGGTGCTGTCGTTGCAGCTGTGGTGGCGCGACGAGGTGCTCGGCTCCTGCAGCTTCAACGCCTCTGGCAATGGCAAGAGAGAGGAACCACAGTGCACTCCACCAGAGGGAGCCCTGCCTCTGACGCCCCATTGGCACCTGGGACACAGGCAGTAATTGGTCAACAACCAGGCAGAGCATCCATCCAGAGCTGCAGAATTCTGCTCGAAAGCAAGGGCAGGGCTCCCGATTGGTTTGCATTTCAGCGGTTGGTGCATTGCCGATGCATGATATGCAGCCATTCAGCAGGGTTGGACACATGACCACCACAAAAAATGTTGAGTGCTGTCTTCGTCTGGTTGGCTTGTTGATAATGTTGCAAACATCAAGATGTTGAAGTGCATCATGAATGCAAGCTCCAAATGAAATGGTGATGGGGAGTACAGGAACGGCATTTGACAAATTGGTGTCGAAAAAAGTCTGTTCTGGGAATAGCTTGCGAATGCAGTGGCGCAGTGGTTTCCCTTGTGCACTGAGACCGAGTCGCTGCAGGACACTAATGTTTCAAGCATGTCAGCCATAAGACATAGCATGGTGCACTTTGACCTTTTGTCCACGTTGGGCGTGTAAACCATCTCGTTTTAAAGTCCAAATAGCGCAATTCACAACACAGAATGCCCCAATCTTCTTCCCTTTGGCATCTCGGGCAAAATTCCCGGACAGCCCCCGGGGGCGCAATCCTTTGCAGCCGATCTACCCCCACACGTCGCCACAACAGGAGTCCCATCCGCGACAACCCGCGGGGGACAAAGTCCGTCCGCGAGTCGAACACCGTCCGCAAGACACAGTCAGCAAGCGGCCGAACTTCGCGAACGGCCACAGTGACGCAGCGTGGCAAACGCACAGCGGCGGCTCGTTTGCGCGTCTCCTTGCCGGCCGCAAGCTATTTGAGCTCCAGCGCCACGTGCAAGCAAAAATCGCCCTCAACGAGTGCCGCTGTGTGAAGAAAACGGTCACATCTCCAACCCAGAGAGATTCGAGCAAGGCACGCGCAAGGACACGCCATGCCACGTGCAGGGGCGGGGCCCAGCCAAGGTCCAACAAGGGAAAAAGGTTCGCGATTCCGTCAGCGCCGGAAATACAAACAACCCAGAGGCTCTTCCAGGGGCCACAGCCCCCACCGGTCCACGGACGCCGCGAGGCGTGGCGCCCTGGGAGCGCCAGCCACGCTCGGCGTCGGCAAAGGCCGGCGCGCTTCTCTCAGGGCGGTAATGTCAATCCGTGCGCAGGCCCGCTGCGAGGCTGACCCAACAATGCGCTGCGCAATGCACATGGCAACAGTGCAGCATATGCCAACAAGGAATCAGCCAATCGCATCAGATGCCCCACCTTCACGACCGGCGAGAGTGGCCGCAGAGAGGAGGGGGCTTGGCTCCGTTCGCGCGCGGGAGCCCTGGCGGCTGCGAGGCGCCGAGCCGGCGCGGGCGACGCTGTTGTCGGCAAAGGCCATAAACAGCCGGGATCAAATATCCTGTCGGGTGCGGAAAACTTTTGACAGGTGGGGTGTGATCGCTTCCCCCCCGCTGCAACCCACCTGGCGCTGGCCGCGTGTCCGCGAGTGTCCGACTGGGCGGCACGCCGGCTCCCAATCGGCTGTCCGCACTCCGCCCGTGAATGTCAAGCCATTCCGCGGTCCGCCTATCCAACCCCCCCTCGAGCATCGACCGAACCTGTTGATGCTGTCGCATGTCGCAGCCTCTGTCAAATTATCAAAGATCCTCTCCCGTGATTCTCTGTTGATAGCAAAGGCGGCGTGGCTTCGCTCGTCAGTCAGTCCGGCGGGCGGCGGTGCGTGCAGAGTTGGTGCAATGTGGCAATACATGGACGGGGCGAGGAGGACCGCCGGACCCCCTCGCCCCGTCCATGTAGTGCCGCATTACACCCAACTCGCCCTGCCCCCCGCCTGCCAGTACATTAGCTCTTCACTGCAAGTTGTCAATGCACGATCGGTCGATGGGTCCCTCGCAGCGTGCAAGCGGGATTGGAGAGAGTCGTTCTGGATGGAATTGCCCTCGCTCTTCCCAACAGCTGGAACAGCGGTGCTCATTACAGGTCCATCCTTTTAGTATTACAGCATCCGAGACAGAATCAATCCTCATTCATTATTTACCGAAGCTAACCCATTGGTGGCAACGTTCTGGAAACGCTCCATCTACAAATGAAATCCCCATCTCCCCTCACGATGACATCCGTAACAGGACTTATGCCCCAAGCCCACTGTGTCCCTGGAGTTAAACACCAAAGTGAGTCCCATTCGCCCGATCAAAACGCCATCCCTCAGTTAGAACTTCCCGGCACTGCTCTCCAAGAACGGAATAACGTGTGAGGATTCCACTAACGTCATATAACCGCGAGTTTGCATGAGACCACCAGTGCCATCTCTCCCTCAGACCCCGCGGCCGGTTCCCCAAAATCCTTTGCCTGTTGCGCATCGCTCAGAGAGGGTGGGTCCCCTCCAGAACTCGCTGGGCAGCTCCGCTGGGCCATAAACCAAACACCATCCCTCAGCAAATTCAGACCAGATGTATACAGCCCTGTCTTGCGCGAAGAGGTGACCCAACGTCCCACCATGTATCATGCATTTTGTGTCTATCAGCCTCCCTGTCACGATCTTTATATGCCGACTTCTTCCCCCTTTGATGTGCGTGGCAACCAAGTGGCATGCCAGTGGCATGATGCCACGTTCGTCCCACAGCCTCGAGTCCAACCAATCATCACCCTCGGAGGAAACTTGGCGAATGGGTTCACCCCCCATGCGTCTTGCATCACGAACGTTTGAACATACTCCGTTTCGGTCCAATCCTCGAGTGCTCCCCCACTCGGTGCCCTTGCTGTAGATGCGCATCCCCCTTCCGCCATTGCCGAGCTCTTACGCTGTAGTTCCTCCATGCGGGCTTCCGCGGCCACTCGCGCATGGGTTGCTTCTTCAACAGCGCCCTCCGAGCGGGCCGCCATGTGGCGCGAGGTGGCCTCCAGCTCCTCCATCGCCGCCGTCAGCTTCCGCACGTCGGCGCAGAGCGTCTCCATTTCTGCGCTCATGGGCAAGCTTGCTCCAGGGCGTATCCATCGCAACTTTACAAACATGATCAGAGAACACATAGATTCCCTTCCGAGTGGCCCGTACCGTGCTCGCGAACAGGGCACACCACTCCAGCAGCCCTTCCAAGGAGGGTGAAATGTGCAACACTTTTCATCACTCTTGACCAGGCGCTTTGAGGCGGGCTAGGGTGTGTGGTGACACGTGATATGATGAGCCGGACAACCCGCCAGACCTGATCAGTCCAAGCTTGCACAGGGGTCTGAACTAAAGCGCGGATCTCAGCGTCGAAAATTTTGCTGCTGGCCAGAAATGGCTGGGCGCGATCCTGGCGCACGATTGTGTGTCGACTCGGTGCCACTCTTAGGTAATGGCACAGCGATATGCCGCAGCCCCACCAATTGGTACGCAGCTAGTAGTAACCTCGCCAGACAGTGGTCTGCAGACCACCTCCAATCCGGAGTCCGTGTCAAGCGCCAAAAACAGCACCAGCTTGTGTAGATGAAAAAAAGAACCAGCGACATGCGGCTTGTCCAATACCCATTGCTTCCTGGGACGCCAGGGTCATGAAGTGTAAAATTCAAAGGTCTTGAATGTAAGAGAACAAAGTACGGCATTCATGAGCTGCGCGTCAAGGAATGAACCGCATAGGACATTTGTGACCGACAGGGTACGGCGCATGTGAGATTTCTGGTGAAAGTGGGCCAGCCCTCCCTTACAAACCCACAGCACCGCGCGCATTCAAAATTTTGAAGCACAGGCTCAGTGCCAGAACTCCGGGACACTTGCCGAACATTTCCATTCGTGGTCTGAGGGAGCGAATGCGCCTCTGGACGCAAACGCACTGGGCCACTCTCCATCCCAGCGCGCCACAATGCCGAAATACGGTTCTAGAAGTTCTCGGAGAGCGCGGCAGGACCCACACAATAATTTCCCCGATGTGGAATACCGTGCCACATGTGATTGCAAAAACCTCAGGCACTTCAGTATGCTGAATTCCATCAACTCCTTTGACCGATATCTGCAGCAAAAAACTATCTCATTTGAGATAACACAGTAAATAAACCGGTCAACCGCCCAGATCTGCACGTCGAAACATATGATCCGCTTTTCCAACCCAGGGTCGTCATCTATGCCTTCGAGAATTGGCCTTGCGGTGCCGCGATCGCCGCCGTCAGCTACCACTTCCAGATGCTTCATGGGAAGGTCGGCAGCGCAAACCAAGTCACCAGCTGAGGTACAAACCCGGTGTCCATTACGTCATTGTATTGCACAAAAATAAGTGACTCCGACCGCTCAGACTCGTGTGCATGCTTTTCACTGTCATGCAGCCTCATCTCAGCTGCAGAAATGCACAATACATTGACAGCGTTCCTTCTTTTTCTGGTTACTTTCTGGTACATTACACGCTGTGCATCCGTTACGTTAAATATATAATACCAACATTTTCGCCGCTGTCAAAACAGGTTTCCACTCATCTTGCCTGCTCATCAGCGGGTATGAGAAGCGGTACACGGAAGCCGTGAGAACAATGAGTCCTATCCCCTTTGCATTGAATAGAATTAGTCTCATAACAGCGCCAAATTTCTCCAGAAGCCCAGGCTCCGCCGCTGTCGCGCAATTTTTGCGCCGCAAGATGTGTTGTGACCACTAGCAAGAAAAGGACCAAATAACACGTTCCGCGAGCACATATGTATGCATTTCATCAGTGTTCGGCACGCTAAAAACACAAAAATAACACAAACCCGTAAACTTTGTACACGTTTGAACACACGTTATTTGGCCCTTTTTTTCCTAGTGGACGCCACACCCCGAGGGGCCTGGCCGCAGCCGAGGGGGCGGTTTTCCGCCGCTGGCGCCAAAGGGCGCAGGTGTCGCTGGACGTCACAACAATCCATCTTCATGTGATGCTCAGCAACGCCCCTCCCCCCCGGCCCCCACCCACCCACTCACCCATTTGTGACGTCGACGGGGACGTCCACGGGCGTCATTGTGACGTCAGCTGAGGTTGGGCCTTTTCTCCCAGCCTTGCGCAGCTCATGACATCTGAACGAGTGGCACCTCGTGAAACATGCTCTTCACCACATGCGCAATTGACCAATGTGCTACCATCCAAAATGCATCAAACATCCAGCTTCGCAGCTAGCTCATGGACCGTCTCTGAATCGTCAGAAGCCAGTAACTTCAGCATGAAATGTGCTTTTCATAAATTTTGCGATATGTCCATGGTTTGATACCTGCATATTCGCAATCCCAACATATATCCTAGTGCTTCTAATAGCCATTTGAAGAGAGCGCACGAAATATCTGTGAGAAAACATCCAAACCGAACTTTCCTCCAGTTCCTCACTCCAGCTGCCCAACCAGCTGAGAAACACACCCACACAGCTTTTACGAGAAAGCCGGTGAGATTCGCTCGCAGGTTCTTTGTGAGAGCAGCAGAACACGTCACGATGAGAATCAGCCAGCTTTGGCAACGATACGGGGTGTCCAAGGGGCGTGGAAGGCCAGTGCTGATGTATATTGTGATCGTTATGTTCGCATCTGAGAGACACTGTGGATTGCAACATATGATAAGCTACTCTTTGTACAATAGTGATGCCAAAATTAGTCCACCTCCAGATCGCCTTAAATCACACAACCGGCCAATTTGCCTTTGCTTGTTATGGAAATATTGCCAGCTTCTTCATGCGGAGACTGACGCATACCGCAGAACCTTTATGGCTTTAATATGTCCAGAACAGCATTTCCCCCTTCTAGAAATAAATTCAGCATCATTGGCACCCGCGACTACAAAATGCTGGAGAGAGCCCCTCGCCCTCGCTTGCCCTCCCTTCGATGCTGGGCACCTCATTCTGTTCTATTGCGTGCTCCAATCAAAAACACAAATTCCCAAAGCGTGCCCAATCTGTTATCAGCAATATCAATCAAGTCTTGCTCATGTAGATATCTGGGGGTTCTTGGTAACGTCGACAACGCCAAGCAAGCTTTGTCTATCTTCTCCATGGGGTCCAACCCCATGTCGTCCATCCACATCCTTGCAGAGTGCCCCAAATCCTCATCCACAAGCGCAGAGAGCAATGGGCATATCCGTGTGCTTCGGACAACATTGACTCCATTACTTGCCGCCTGTGAAGGACCTGCATTCGTCCGGGTCTTCGATAGCGGAACAAGCCTTGCCGGCTTTTAGCCACTTTTCCTTGTCGGCCTTTGAGGATGCGTACATATGTTCGACGGCTGCCTTCTGGGTCATCCTGCATTTTCCTGCAGACAGAAAGGGTAAATTCATGTGCCAAAAAAATCCATGGGCCAGGCTGACCAGGCTCGCTCCTTTTACGTTTACATTTGTGTTTTCACACGTAAAAGCATAAATTTGCGAAAGTGGCTATTTTTACGGCCATTTTGACGTCTTTACGGCTCGCTGGACACCCAGGTGCCACGATGGAAGTTGCGCACAATGATCAGTCCTCCGCCATCTCCAGCACCCGCAACACAGTGCCCACCTCGCCCTCGGCAAGGGCACAGACGGAATGGAACAAAAGTTCTTATTTCAACCATTCCAGCGCGTCTGACTGCCACTCCCCGAAATCCCCAAGCCCGTATGTACTTTCCTTATGTGCAAAGGGCTGTATTTACGTCATTACTCCGTATTTTTACCCCTTTTTACACGTAACAACGTAAAGCCTATTTTTACGCGTAAAACCGTAAATACATTCAGTTTTCGCGGCGTGAACGCCAAGCCCGAAGCTGAGCCCCTAACGAGATTCCATTACACTCCATTGTGGGTTCCCTCATGCATGCATCCCTCAAAACATGAAAATGCTTGCAATCACAGTTCGTGCCATACGCAATTGCGTCATTCTTGTCCATGTTTCTCGTCAATCATGTTCTACAATACGGGTGTTGCACACTCCAGCAGGGTATTCAATGTCCAGGGGGTTTCGTTTCAAGTACCATCAGTGCCACCGCGACAAACAAAACTGGAAAACTCGAGTCGGGCTGACTGATGATACTGTCCGTCGAGGCAAAACTGCCGCACAAAGCCGCGAACGGCATACACACCCAATTTCCCGCGTTTCCAACCCACACTCTGGCAAAGAAATTTTCGATTTCACAGATATTCTAATTGTGCTTGTATTGTGTGCAAGTGGCACCAGTCGTGCATTTGAAGTTGTATTTGCCTCTGAATGAGCACGACTGGGAAGCGTTAATCGTGTGTTTTTTGCGCCATATTCGTGAAGCTTGCATCTCAAGCATTTATGTTCTCGCACGCACATCTTCCGCATCCTTTCCATGTCTGCTGCCACATCACACTTTCGGGACTGGTTCCTCACACGCTTTCGCGCAATGCGCTTTCTCACACTAATCCGCACCTTTTTCTTCGTCAATATCGCAAGCCCCCGTGCACCTGGAATCCGCAGGAGTGGAAGAACATCCGTACGCCAGCGCAAAGAGCTGACACAAATTCGACGTCGCATTTGGGGATAGCCAGGCTGAAGGATCGTAAACGGGAAGAGGCACGCAGCCTCCTGAGTCCCCTTCTTCGCACGGAAGCACACAGGGAGAGACTTGCTCGCACACTTCATCCCTCCCCCTAGAGAAGGAGAGAGCGTTCTTCTGCACCTTTGAAAACTGCGCACCACAAAGCCTGCGAAATTTACGCACTGTAGCCAACCGTTGCGTGGAAAACACAACAGTACTGGTCAACATTGTCGGCAAAAGCGGTGGCATATTGGCAAGTGGTGGGCACGGACGGGCTATATTGCAAGTGGGTTGGGACAAACGGTAGGGCAAGCGGTTGGGCAAGCGGTTGGGCAAGCGGTTGGGACAAGCGGTGGGCACGGAAGGCCCCCTTGTTGTACGGCCGCCATGCGTGTTTTCGGGGCCACTCTTGCGATTATGCTTAATGCAAAGCTATTGCTGTCCAGCCAGCGTCCTTGCTGGCCAAATATATGAACGCATTCTCTTGGTATTCAAAATCAAAGTCTTTAGCACAGCCACGGACATTTAGCCAGGTCGGCGCCTCCTCGAGCAGCCCCCAGCACTGGCTCCAACTCGCCCTCGCAATGAGTGAATGGGCAACAGACGCCGTTGTGTAACCACCACAGTTCTCCACCCCTTTAGCACGTGTGCGTGCCACTCCACGGAGACTCTGTCAACGAAGCATTGCCACCAAAACGGTGTGGACCCTCTTTCAGACCGAGACTGGATCGGAAATAGATGCATATTCATTGCACATCCACTTATGCATATTCGTGGGGTGAATTGCTCCAATTTCTGGTACTGCAAAGTGCTGGAATGTACCACGTTTTACCGTAGGCTGGTTTTATACATGCAATTGGCTGCCTCGAGCACATCTATTCCAGCGCTGTGGCATCATGTGTGCATGGGCTGCGACAATTGAAATATCAGAGTCTTTCAAAGCTGCCTGAGCTGCTGCCAAAAACAATGGCAGAGGCAGTTTCCTGCACAGAAAGGTCTGTCCGTCTGTGTGTTCCTGCATGGAGGGATGGCTGTTGCTTTTTTTCAATGCCACCGCATCCTGCACTATTTCGAGCGATCTGGAATGACTTCAATGATTTGACAAAGATATGTGGTTGGCGATTCATGGATACGAAATAGTTCAATTGCCTGGCATCTGAAAATTCGATGACGCGACTCACCGCAATCAGCACATCTGCATCCTCCTGGCACACGGCATTGGTTTCGTTCCTGATGCACAGTGCAAATTCCTCAAATTGATTTAAATGATATTTGTACTCAATCAGTGGCTTACTGATTGTCAAAAGCATCAAAATCTAATAGCAGCATCAAGATGCTTCATAATGCCTGGCACGACGGTGACAAACATCCGCAATGTACACAGTACCTGCAAAGTACACATCAATACTGGCAGGACTGCCACATACGCGTGCAGCGTTGAATCAAACACATTTACCCTCACTTGAAATCTTCATGCGTGCTCACACCCATGTTGAAAATTGACATTCACTGCATTATGAAAATTGTGACATTGAGGCTGGCGCTCATTTACAAGCCCCCCCCACCCCCACCCCCACCCCCACCCCCACCCCCACCCCCACCCCACCCCTCATACACCCCACCCCCACCCCGCACCCCACCCCCCACCTCCCCCACCCCTACCCCCACCCCCACCCCCACCCCCACCCCCACCTCCCTGCACCCACACCCCCCACCCACACACCCACCCACACGCACAGCGCAACACCAGTCTATGGATTTCAGTACTTTGATCAGCCCATGGATGTCAGTACTTTGTACTTCAGTAGTATTACTTTGTAGTATTTTTTGATTAAATACTGTAAAGTAGGGGCCTCATACCACTTTTTCCAAAAGAGCGTTGTACGTGGAAAAACACGCAACAGGCGCACATGCACACTTACCACGCGCATCCTGGTAAGGCATGGCATTTTGATTCTCGAGGCAGCATTCCGCACTGATCCAGTCGGATTAAGGCCAGAATTCCAGGCCGATAGCAGTCTGCCACGTCAGCAATGATATCGCCGCGGCATACGGCTTCACTGGCTTCGCTGGCTCCACTGTCTTCAATGGATTTATCGGGTACATGCCTTCAAAGGGGATGGAAAAAGGGAGTCAGCTGCGCGCCGGCTGCCCGTTTCTTATGCACAATGTTGCGTCCTTACAAATGTTTCAGTTTGTCTCTCACAGGAACAATGTGGACACGAAAGACATCAGCACGATACAGATCTGAAAAGCAAATATTCCAAATGTGACAAAATTACTGCCTTTACAGCAATTGGCAATGCAAGCAGTGTTATACTTTTTAAGTACTAGGTTCACAATGCGCAGCAACACATTGGCTCTCGACACATATCACGGAGATCTACATGGAATTAGTATCCACATACGGCCGACCCAAAATGATTAACTGTAAGATAGCAACTTCGAAACACCTTCTCCCATGTCCAAAGTTGCAATGTTCAATCCAATCAAGCCAGGCGTTACAGCTGAATATCACATGGAACCTCCCCCCCAAAAAATCTCAAATCACACATTCTATGATTCTACAGAAACGTGGAAGGAGAAAGACGTGCGCATGGACTTGCTGAAGGTTGAATATTACCAATGAGCGTGACGTTGTAATCCACATGCATCACGATATGAATCGCTTGCGTCCCTTCTGTATCGTGTATTTATCAGCAAAGTACTACCAAGTAAGGTCAGCTTACCACAAGCAATCAGGAGCGTCAAGGCAGTCATCCTTGGAGGAAAGCTTTGAGCACTCCTGCAAAGCGATGCTCCACTGTCAAGCACAGAAAATGCCAACCGTCGACAGATTATTGCCACCTTGCACACACTAAGTTCATGGCATTGCAATGCGACATTACAACAAGTCCACCACTGTGACTACACGCTGAAAACCGCAGTTGGCATCTGGCCAGTTATTGAGCACCGAACCAGAAGCTAGTGTGCAAAGGTGTTGCTGTTAGATATGTACATTGCACACCTGCTTCATCGCCATAATTATTGTCCTATGGTGGTAAACCAGGCATGAATGCTATTCTATTTTGCGCATGCTATCATGCAGTGCTCATTTCGAATGGCAGGTTGACCCACGTGCAGTCGCTTCAGTCAAGTTACCATCTTGATGTCGATGACCCCAATATCTAGGGGCATTAGATTAGAGCAGCTCTGAAATTGGCCGAATTTCCCATGTTCGTAAATATGATACATGAGCTTTATCAAGGTTTGCTTCCATATCATTGGTTTATGCTTTGATGTTGTGCTATAGTGTACATATTTGCATTGTTGCTAACACCTTAAAAGCATCGCAATTTTTTGCAGGCTTAAAGACTCTAACCATGCGGACAAGACACAGAAGAGCAGTGCACAGTTCTTTCCTAAATTGAGCGGCATACAAATGCCTAGGTAAGTTAGACTCAACTCATAACCAACCCAAGGAACAACTCATGGGTCGATTGGGACGTTAAGTGCTCATCAAGAGGGTATCATCACCCAAAATCGCCCAGAACGAATACCAAAATTGTGCTCAGTGGATGCGTGTGTGTTTATGCTGTGAATGCACTGTGAAACATTTCTAACAAATGTTTCTAAGTAGTTGTCTGTCTCGTGTGATGTTATGGTCCATCATTGCAATGATTGTTATCGCGGTGTTGAATACACGTATGGACAGATTGGAGGACCGACCATCACAACGGCAGATATGTGGCCCAACATTATGTGAACTGTATCCTCACAATGCATAAACTACAAGGTAATGCACAAATGCACTGGTACCATACATTCAGATGCACATTAATACACAAAAGCGACCTCGCCTCATTAGTGTCATATAAACGGAAGATTTCAGAATCTTCAACATCCGCCCAGACGCGGGCCTGGCATGAGTCCTCCAGATCCCAGAAGCACAGTGGAGTATCGAGCTGCAACAACCTCCTCGCCTTGGAAAATCCTGACAGAGTTTTGAGCTGGACAAAGAACAGGACAACAACAGACTTCAGTACCAATGCCGCATTCCTTATCACCATCAACTAAATGGGGCAGCATCGAGGCCAACAATGAGGAATACAAGAGGCAGAAGTGTGTCACATGCAAAGATGGAGGAGAGCAGGCTGCTGAGGGCAACGCCACACCCACACCATGCTCATTGGCTGAGAAAGGCACAAGAAGTGTTTTCGACTGCATGCCCGAGCAGGTGCTGTGCAGGATGACTAGCAATGAACGCACAGATATGTGAAGCAAGCCAATATCAGCAACGATGGGTGGCAGTCAACAGATACAAAATCACCAGGCTATCAGCAAACGCCCTTCGCATGTGGCATCTGGTCCCTCACTACCAGACAATGTGTCGGTGCACATTAGCAGTTGTGTGTCAATCACACAACACGACCATTCAAGACAAAAATGATTGGCAGAAGAACATCCTGCACTAAACCCACTGGTGGAAAGTGGCATGTTTGCGATGCCAGCTGCGATGCTATGTTGACACAAAATCGCACCATCACAGTGATTGCGATGGCATAATAGTGGGTGTGATGCCATCAATTTGTGCCAAATGATGTCGCAGCTTGCATCCCAAACAGGCTGTTTTCTACTGGTGGCAGCCTGCCAGCAAAAGGTAAATATTGGCCCAACGAGAGCAAAAAATTCTTGCAGCAACGTTGCCACTGTACATTGTGGGGGTTTCATGCTTTTGCAATTCACTGCGCAATCAATACTTTGGAGAGTCTGTGCAGAAGCTTGAGGGGCTGTTGTTGCAGCAGTGGTGGCACGAAGGGGTGCTCGGCTCCTGCGGCCTCAACGCCTCTGACAACGGCAAGAGAGAAAACCAGCAGCACACTCCACCAGAGAGAGCCCCGCATCTGAGCCTCCATTGGCACCTGGGCCACAGGCAGTAACTGGGCAACAATCTGGCATCTTTAAAAACTGGAAAGATTTGTTCTAAAGCATGGGTAGAGCTCTTGATGAGCTTGCAGATAAGCGGTTGGTACAATACTCATGCACGATACACAGCCAGCTAGCAGGGTTTCGAGACATGATGTAAACCAAGAATGCCGGAGCTCTATGGAATTGTCGATTTTTTCAACATCACGATGTTGAAGTGCATAATAAGCACAAGCCCCAATTGGGCTCTCCAGTTCCTCACCAGGTAGTACCCGAATGCTGATTGACAAACTGACATCGAAAAAATGCTGCGCAAAATATGTTATAGAAATGGCGTGCCGATGCAGTGACACGATAGTTTTCCTCGTGCGCTGACCCCAAGCCGCTGCAGGACACGACCGCTTTGCAAATGTCAGCAAAGACACGACATGGTACGCTCCGCCTTTTGTCCACATACTGGGTGAGCAGCATCTCCTTTTCGAGTCCGCGCACCACACCCCACAACAAAGAATGCCCAAGAGCTTCTTCCCTTCGGCCTGTGAGGACAATTTCCCGACAACCCCTTGGGACACAATGCTTTGCAGCCGACCATGTCACCGCAGTAGGAGTCCCATCCGCAACTAGCCGCGCTGGACAGACACTGTCCGCCCATATGACACATTCCCCCAGACACCTTCCGGGCACTGTGTTCGCCATTCAACAGCGTCCGGATGGCACCGCCAGCAAGCCGCGGGAGTTCGCGATCGCCCCCAGTGCCGCAGCTTGGCAAACGCATAGCGGCTTGTGTCCGTGTCCCGTTGCCAACTGCGAGCTATTCGAGCGCCCGCGGCACTTGGAAGCAAAATCGACCGCAGGCAAACCCTGGCGTCTGACGGAAACGGTCCGGTTCTCCAACTGTGAGAAATTCGAGCACTGCACGCGCAAAGGCTCGTGATGGCACGTGCAGGGGCGGGGCCCAACCCAGGTTCAAGAAGGAAGAAAGGTTCGCGATTATTCCCGATCCAACAGCGCAATGGAAGATAACCTCAGAAGCGTTTCCAGCGGCTGGGGCTCCCTGCCCGTCCGCAAATGCCGCGAGGCGTGCCGCTCTGGGAGCGTCAACCGCGCTTGGTGGCGATACAGGCCGGCGCACCTCCCTCAGGGGAGCAATGTCAGCCTCGCTGCGCGGCTGGCCCCAAAATGCGCTCCGCAAGGCACAGTGGCAGCTGTGCGGCATTGGCATGAGGCATCGGCGACTCGCATCAGGTGCCCACCTTCAGGACCAGCGACAGCAGCCGCAGAGGGGGAAGGGGGGCCCGGCTCCGTTCCCGCGGGAGCTCTAGGTGCTGCCAGGCGCCCGAACCCACGGTGGCGACGCTGTTGTCGGTACAGGCCGTCATGATCCGGATTCAAACATCCTGTCGACGGCGCAACACTTTTGATAGGAAGCGTGGCGCCGCCTGCCCGCCAAGCAACCTATCTAGCGCCGGTGCGTGTCAGCATATCTCCGTGCAGGCGGTACACTGGTAAGCACACTGTATGGTAATTGCATTCGTATGTAATTGTGTAGTACATTGGCCCCTCATTGGCAATCGCCAACACCTCTGGTGTTCAACCCATGCCGGCACGATCACGGCCACGCGCCCCCCCTCCCCCTCCCCCTTGGGCATCAACCGAACATGGTGGATGCTGTGGCAGGCAGGGGCCCTGTCAATTGCATCAAAGATCCTTTCCCATGGGACTCTGTTGACAGTAAGGGCGGCAGGGCTTCACTTGTGCGGTCAGTCCAGCGACGATGCATGTCCGCTTCCCCCCGTCCGGTACTACCGTATTGCCCGGTGTTAGTATCCCACCCCGATAGGTATCCATCCCCTTCTCGGGGAGTCCGAATCACGCTGGTGTGCTGACGTGATGAGGTGTTAGTATCCAAACCCGTATCAAACTAACGACTAACTGCAGACTGTTCCCAGATGCATTTTTTCAATTCTCACCACCATTTGCAATTCACAGTGCGTGGCTGTGACGAAATTTGTCCTTTGAATAGAGCAATCAATTCGGGCGCAGGAAGTACAAGGCAACAAAAATGCGCACATGGATCACATCCAGTATTGCACATACCGCTGACATTCCGGCAGGACCTGGAAGTCAGCATTTGGGTTCAAATAAACAAGCATTGAGAATTCAATAAACAGCCTTGTCGGACAGTTCGCGTTTTCCTGCAGATAGAAAGGGTTGCTTCGTCCGCAAATATTACGGGCCAATCTGACCCCTTAGCGAGAATCCATGAAACCTCATTGTGGGCCCCTTCATCTATAGCATTTCCTCGGAACATAAACGGTTTGCAATCGCAGTTCGTGAGATACGCAATTGGCGTCACTCTTGCACATGTTATCTTCAACCAGGTGACAAAACACTGGTCTCCTACACTCGAGCAAGTTGTTCAAATCAGAGGAAGTTTTGGTTCAGGGACCATGAGCGACACAACAAAGAAAACGTTTGAAATCTCAAAGCGGACCGACTGATGACACTTCTTATTGACGCCCATTCGCAGTGCAAATGCGCACAAAGCACATGAAACCAGGTTCCTGGGCTGTGATCCACACTCTGGCAAAATCTACCGTTTCGCCCAATTTCCCATTGTGCCTAAATTGTGTCGAAGTGGCATCAGTCTTGCATTTGAAGTTCGAAATCGACTGAATGAACATCACTGCAGCAGCGCAAAATGCACACGGGGGCATTGATCATGCCTCTACCAAGTTGCGATAATCGGACAGTGCCAGAATTTCTGGCGGCAGGCTTGTTTTTTGCGTTTACGTTTCTATTTTTACGTTTTTACGCGTGAAAAGGCCTATTTTTACGGCCATTTTTACGTTTTAACGGCCCGCTGGGATGCCCAGATCACACGATAAAAATTGCGTACAATGATCAGTCCTCCGCCATATCCACCACCGGCAACACAATGTCCACCTCGCCCTTGGCAAGGGCGATGATGGTGCTTAACAAAAACTGGTCTTCTGGCCCTTCCAGGGCATCTGGCTGCCATTCTCCGGACTCCGCAAGTCTGTATGTACTGTCTTATGTACACCGGGCAGTTTTTACGTTGTGTTTACGTATTTTCACGCATTTTTACGCGTAAAAACGTAAAAACGTAAATACGATCAGTTTTTACGGCAAAAACCAAGCCTGTCTGGCGGCCTGGTGACCGTCGTTACGGCGCCGCACGGCATCTTCCGGATGCACGGCCCATCTCGCCTGGCCAGGTGGCAACGCGCCCACCGGTGGTACATCGGCCCCAAAGAGCCGTTTCTGCACCCTTTCCTGCCTCAACGCCCCCAACGGCACCGAAACATCTTGGGGGTGCCCTGTCGGACTGCTCCGACGACGAAGGATCGCTGCGTGCCTCCCTTCGGCAAGGGACGCACCACGTGGCGCGAGCAATTCCCGTACCTTCCCACTGAGTCGCTCGCGCCCAGCAGAGCATCCCCGCGCATTGGACATCGGCAGCGACGCCAGAGAGGCGGCCTTTCGCAGTGATCCGTCGCTTCCTTAAGACCAATGGACAATTCCCGTCCGCACAAGCCCCTGAGGCCCCATTCCGCCCCCACCTCCCGGGACTGTGGAACATGGCCATGGCATGGATCTACACACATATGTCTTGTGTGCTATCGAATCGCTCCAAAGGCCTGCATGAAATGACTCACCGAAGGCCCCCGCCTGAACCGTCGAGCTCGCCTTCTCTCGTCTCGCTCGCCCTTGCCCATCCGTCACCGCAACGTCGTGGGCTTGTTCGCCGCGGGACCCTCCCCCACAGCACGACGCAGAAAAGAAGAGCAAAGAGCAAAAACGGCAGAGCAGAAGCACATAGGCAGGAGCGACAGAGGGCTCCAAAGTACGAGCATGCTGGGCGACCCGGCGATTGCATTGTTATCATTAGCTGTTGCCGCGTTTCCCAAGCCTGAACTTATTGCACATTCTGCACCATGGTATTTTATGCTTTGGGAAATTTGTCGTCGCTTGTAAGAGGTAAGCTTCCTCATTTTCTTCATTTAACGTCACCCACTATTCATTTTAAACAGCATCACGTGGGTCGCATGAGTAGAGATGACTGCATAGCAGCTGCTATGCACACTGCAGTGTGGAGCGGCGCACGCGCATATCATTAACTGTGTCGTTGGTAGCGCACCAACCCACAGTCAGTGATGCACGTGCAGCAGTCCCTGGGCCACTCCAATTAGTCATTCGAAGCGGTGCTAGATATTCATCGAGGCTAGTCAAAACTACTATGTTTGAGTCGCCTTGAATGAATTTCTGTGCTCCTCTCGCACACGTTAAGCAAAACAATGAGCACCAGAAAATTTCCGGTGGAAATGGGGAGAGTAAAATCAACCTTTGAGCACATAAAGAAATTTGTAAAGACAGTTCATTAATGAAATTACGGACCCGCCCAAACTGTTCAAAGTCATCAAAGATGCTGCCAAAACACCAGCGGACGCTGCTCATATGCAGAGCCACCATCTGTTTGCTGTGAGAGACGAAAATATCGTCTGAGCTGGATTACGTAAGCGTAGTTCAACAGGCCCTTGCTCCCATGCATGTCGAACAAATATGGCGCTGTTGCCTTTGAAGGTACACGCTTCAGTTTGGCGAAAGAATATTGTCCGCTAACGTACCTAGTAGATCAACCACAAGTAAGTGACAAGCCATTGGTTTTCTAATGAAATGGAGGCACCGGTGGCATACCGGGCCATCCCTGCAACGCCCCCGCTGCAGGCATTGCCCGGATGTGCTCAGGTACCATTGCCAATAGGCAAGGGGAAACGCACCATTCGATCGCCTTGGACGCAAAATTGACCTGCATGATACTTTTAGCTGCGTTAGAATTAGGCATCTGTGAATGTACAGAATGCGCACTGGCGGTCTGCGGTGGGGGCAAGGAGCAGGTGCCAACTGCATCTCTGCACATACCACAAACAACATCTGATGCCGACTGTTTTCCATTTTTTTGCATGGGACCCCTCACATCAACTTTCTCGAAAAATGACACCCTGGCTCATGGGTGTGCACGTACGGCTGTCCAATGATAATTGCTGCTCGTTCACTTTAGTTGGTGGCCGCCGAAATCCTGACGTCACAAAGATCATTCAAGAAATAGCTTTTCCTTGAGGCAATATTACAATATGGCAAACATCGGTCTTGGGCGTCACACGACATCGCAAAAGAACACGTAATATGTGGAAAATCAAAGTAATTTTCGAATTGTTCTGCTGCTTATGCGCACTGCGCTGCATTATACGGGGCTTATTCGGATTCCTTCAGATAATCACAAGATTCGAAACTGTAGTACAAGAAGATGACTTGCATACTATGGAATATATGGGGATGCTTCTGAATGCGCGCTGCCGACATTTTTGCCGGTATCAGCGTACTTTGGCACATCAATGTGCATTTTCAGGAAGTTAAGATCGCAAATGTCACAGTGCAGATTTGAATTCACACCGCCGCCAGGTTGCCTCAAATCATACGGCAACCAATTATGAGTCCTCAGGCTTCCAGAAGATGGCCAGCCTCTTCATGAGGAGGCCGATTTACGTTCAGCTTACAGGCATGCGCAGTCCTCATCCACCTGGACAGCTTCTATGTATCTAACACGAAGCTCCATCTTCTTGACAAAGAATTCAGCTTGGTTGGACACCCGCTTTTCAAATATATTTCAAGTCCCTATTTTTCTCGCTCATCCGCCACGTCTCCGCGCCGCCCCAAAGCTGAGCGCACATTTCTGTTCTGAAAATGTCCTGTTCAAAAAAAATAAATATTATGCCCAGGCCACCATCGCTCTTAAATTGATAATTCTTCTTCTTTTATTCAATTGCGATTTCCCAGTCAGGGTGGCAGTGAAAAGCGCTGCTTGTATATTTTCTCAACGCGATAGCTCTTCGGCTCGTCACCCGTTCATGTCCTCGCAAAACGCTTCAAGGTGCTGTCCTCTTTGACTAATGCAACAAACAATTCCCATGCCTGCGCGCTCCGGATTGCATTGGCTCCTATACTTGCCGCCAATGAAAGCTACGCATGCGTCCGGGCCTCCGATAGCGGAACAGTACTTGACGGCTTTCAGTCACTTTTTCTTCTCCGCCTTCGAAAAAGAACACAGAAATTGGATGGCTGCCTTGTCCGACGGATGGCATTCTCCTGAAGGTAGAGAGGAACAACCCATACGCAAATTCGCGGGGCAAGGTGACCCTCAACGAGCAAATGCCACATCTTCTGCGATGCAATGTGCGTTCGCTGTCCCGTCCATTTCCTCGAGCATAAATTTTGCTTCCGATGTCATCGCGTGCTATACGCAACAGGATCATTCATATTCATTCCATATTATTACCCAGTGTGTAAATGATGGGAGCTCTATCCTCAAGAAAGCCATGCGATTCTCAGGAAGTTCCTATTCAGAGACCATGAGCGGTGCGGAAAGGAAAGCTCTCGGTAGCGCCAATTGGACCAGCTACTGGTATTACCCACCGCCGCAAACTCACAAAGTAACAACACACAAACACCAACAATGTATTGGCGTACATAGGCAGGGTTCTGCGTCTGCCATCCACGTTAGTGTAAATACTTCCCTGGTTCCATTCTGCGCTGGATTGTTATGTACATTTACAACAACATTTTTACG